TATCAAGTGGCATGATACCTCTAACTTTTTCTTTCTCAAAATTGGTTTTTCTATTTGGGGTCTTCTATGGTTCCATATAAGTTTTAGGATTATTTGTTTTTGTTCTGTGAAAAACACCATCGGTATTTTGATAGGCATTGCATTGAATCTATAGGTTGCTTTGGGTAGTATGGACATTTTAATGTTAATTCTGCCTATCCATGAGTATGATATATGCCTCCACTTATTTGTATGTTCAATTTCTTTCTTCAGTGTCTTATAGTTTTCTGAGTACAAGTATTTCACCCCTTTCGTTAAATTTATTCTTAGGTATTTTATCTATTTTTGATGCAGTTGTAAATGTGATTATTTTAATTTCTTTTTGATAGTTTTTTTACTAGTCTATAAAAATACAATTGATTAGTGAATATTAACTTTGTATTCTGCTACTCTACTGAATTCATTTATTAGTTCTAATAGTGTTTTGGTGGATTCTTTAGGGGTCTCTATATATAGTATCCCAACAATTCCATTTCTGGGTATACATATATCCAAAGTAATTGAATTCTAAATTTCGAAGAGATCTGATCTACATTCCCATGTTTATTGTAGCATTATTCACAATAGCCCAGATGTGGAAACGACCTACATGTTCATCAGTGTACAATAAAGAAAGAAAATGTGGAGTACGGGGTGGGGCAAAAGTAGGTTTACAGTTGTGAGTACATGAAACAGTTTACTCTTGTATTATTATTTACTATTGTATTTTTTTATACAAACAACAAAAAAGTAGACTTACTTTTGCCCCACCTTGTATACATACAATGTAACATTATCCAGCCTTAAAAAAGAAGGAAATCCTGCCATGTGCAACAACACAGATAGACCTTGAAGGCATTATGCAAAGTGGAATGAGCCAGCTACACAAAAAATAATACATGATCTCACTTATATGTGAAATCTAAATTACAGTACTCTCCACTTATCCATGGTTTTGCTTTCTGAGGTTTCAGTTACCCACAGTCAAATGTGGTCTGAAAATATTAAATGGAAAGTTCCCGAAAGAAACAATTTGTAAGTTTTAAGCTGTGCGCTGTTCCGAGGAGCGTCATGAAATCGCACGCTGTCCTGCTGGGGATGTAAATCATCTCCCCACCGTACACGGTCCCTTGCCCACTACTCACTTAGCAATAATCCCAGTTATCAAATCGACTGTCATGGGATCACAATGCTTGAGTTCAAGTCAACCTAATTTTACTTAATAATGGCCCCAAAGCCATTCACATAACTTTTATTAGAGCATGTTGTTATAATTGCTCTATTATATGTTACTGTTATAATTGTTCTATTTTATTATTCTTACTGTGCCTAATTTATAAATTAAACTTTATCAGAGGTATGTATGTATAGGGGAAAAAATAGTCTATATGGGGCTTGGTGCTATCCAGTTTCAGGCATCCACTGTGGGTCTTGGACTGTATCCCTCACGGGCAAAGGGAAACTATTGTAGTCAAACTCATTGAAGCAGACAGTACAATGGCAGGGCCAAGGGTTGTGGCAGAGGAAATGGGAGGTGCTGGTTAAAGTGTACAGTTTTAGTAAATAAATTCTGGAGATCAACTGTTTAAAAAAAAAAAGCACTGGGTCACAGAGCCTCCCCATAGAAGGAAGCAGCGTTCAGCAAGGGAGTAGGTCTGAGCACTGGTTTGCGTATCTAGGTGAGAACAGTTTTTACACTGTTGTCTGAAACGAAATAAAATTAATTTTCGTGTTCATGCACTAGTTACGGGCTGTGAGCAAGTTATTTAACCTCTCTTGCTCTTTCTTTTCAACATCTGATTATTGGGAAAAGTAAATAAGGTAAAAAAGTTACCGGCACCATGTCTAGCCCATCACACAATAAATGTTCATTAAAAAGTCAGTTGTAAAATTACATAGATTAGTTGAGATCTGAGTTCTCCCAAGCCTGCTGAAATTGGACTAGGAAATCACCAGCAGGGGCGACACAGCTGGACTTGGTAGCTCTCAGGGGCACGTGCAGAAACACAGAACATCATTAGGTGTCAGGAAGAGACATACAGGTAGATACCGCATACATTTCCAGACTCGTTAGTAAACCTTAGAAAAAGGTAGCTTCTTTAACAAAGGGCTTTAGTTATCTAATAGTATCCTCAAAACCGGCACCCAGGGGCCAGGAATTGTCTGCTCGTTGCTTCCTTTGCGTGATAAGACGGCGTGGCTGTGCGGGTTGCCTGGCGTGAGCCATCCCTCTCCCCAAGCCCCGTAAGGACACGGTCCTTGCTGCTGCAGCTGCGGAAGGCACAGAAGCTGCTAGGGTGCCAGACAGTCCTTTGTTTTGCTACTCTGTTTACAGCTGCGCTTCAGGATCTGCGACAATGGCCCAGTGACCTGCCTTTGACCCCATGGTCAGCATTTCCTCAATGAATCATTGTGACTGTGATATTCGTCATTACTTCATTGATTTCAGTTTGCAGGATCAGTAGAATTTAGGAGGCTCCTTGGCCAGGATTTGGGTACAATTACTCTTAGGCTCCATGTCCTAACGGCGGGCATCCTTTAGCCAGGATTTGTTGCAACAAAGCTTATTTCACATTTGACTGTGTAATAGTTTGACATTAGTAGCTCAGAACAAATACAGTGAGTGTCTGCCATGTGTCAGGTGCAGTGAAAGCTGCTGATAAATGTTCTCAGTCAGTAATTATATTTGAGTGAAGTAAAAGCTGGAAAAAAAAAAATCCCAGTGCTGATGTGTGATGATCTGTCTGGCACTTGGGACAGAGTTGACCTGAAACAGAATATTCTTGGCACGAGGTGCGCCCACGGCAGTGGAGGATCCATCTTCACAGCACTGATGCCAGCACAGGGCAGTGGGGTTGAGAGAAGGGCTCTCTCCGGCTGCAGGACTGGCAGGCAGGAGCCAGCAGGGACACTGTTAAGTGACTGCAGCAATCCCACGGTGACCTGCTGTTGGGGAAGAGTCCCAAGCCTGAGGTCAGGATCGATTCTGAACCGACACGTGGCCTTATTCAAATTCTTAAGAGCTTTCATAGGAGAAACTTACACACACAGGCAAAGCAGCTGCTTCCAGCGACGGAGGCCAGGAAGAGTCCACACCCCTCCCAGGACTGGGCCCCTTTTTAAAGGGGGTAAGTGGGGGTTAATTGCAGAACCAGATGGCAGGTAGCTGTGTGGACCTCCCGAGACAACAATGTATAACTAAGTTAAAAGTTAAAAGATAACATCAGGCAGTTAATATATTCTATACATTCATTAATCTCCTTCCTGGGGACGTGACGTTTGTCATTTTTGGGCGGCATTCTGGTTTCCAGGGCAGCCAGTCAAGAGTGAGGTTACAGAGTTAAACAGTCACAAAGAGTTCAACGTCTCCCAGAAGCCTTTGCTGCTGGAGCCACAGGGCATCTCTGATCTGAAGTGAGTTCCCCTGCACCTGCGGTGTGGCAAGAATGAGATGAGACTCATGACGCTCCACCCAAATTCCTTGATGTTTCCCTCAATCCCCTTTGGAATTCAAGGAGAGGACTTGGGCAGGGCCCGCCTCTGGAATTCAGCCATGGGGACTGTAACCCTGGGCTGCTGTGGGTAACGGAAATACCATCCACAGGGGACATCCCTAGTAACAGTGAGGGGTTATCCTCACCAGTGGTACATCTTTGGAGCCACCATTACATCTTACCCTCACTTCTTTAGCCTTGAATATAACTTTGAAGATCATCTTGAATTCCCTTGTGTCCAGAGCTTCAGGACTTGGCCAGTTTTGCTACGCCTCCCGTGTTAAAGGCCTCCGTGTACTTTCTAGGAAGCCAGCCTTGATGACATCCTATTTGCAGGCTTTTGGACTAGTTCTCCCTTCCTTTATGGTGTGTACACTGGTCCAAACTTAGGTGTACATCAGAATCACCTGGAGAGCTTGTTACAACGGCTTGCTGGAGCCGCCCCAGCATTTGACTCTGTAGGCCCAGGCTGGGCATTTCTATCAAGTTCTCAAGTTACGGTGATCTTACTAGTCCAGGGACCATCTTTTGGGAATCACTGGTCTTGCAGAAAGAGGAAAGAAAAAACATCTTACAACAGTCTGATGCACTGTGCTGTGTGCAAGTCCTGTGATAGCTGCTCTCTAAACACAAAAGAATCTCACAGTACTCCCCCTAAGCTCTCTCCTATAGATGTGTGCTCGCCACTGGCAGACACTGGTCTGCTCTTCTATTGTATAAGGGGGCTCTGTCCCCTTTAACACATATTTAGCCAGGCCTAAATACTTTTATAGACCATAATTCTTAAAACAAGAACTTCACTGCTATAACCTTTTCGGTGGACGCTCCCACCTAGTCACACACACTACCCATGTGTATACTTCCACCGACCACATGCAAGTTCTGAAAGACAGCTTTTGCTGTATTTTAGCATCTGTAGGTTTGTTTGTTTTTCATCATTAATGGACCATTTCAAAAGTAAACTACACCATACTCTTAGGGTGTCAACAAGATTACAATAGAATCACAAATTTTACATATAATCATTCAGTTCTGAGGTTCAGTTATTTAATATTAAATCAGAACATTTATACTGAAAAGTACACCCTAAAAAAGTGACATGGTCAAGCGGGTTTGGAAAAAATGGTGACTCTCCAAGGAACCTGCAGGAACTTAGGTGAGCATATGAAAGGATCAACTTTAACACCTACTTAAATCCTGGTGACCCAGGATGTGCTGGTGGCCTTGTCCCTTGTAATGTGACCCAACATTTACAGCAAAGCCATTTTTATCAGGAGACTGACGCAAAAGCAAACTTCCCAATGAGTATAACTTATTCAATTAAGTCGTTCCTATGTCTTATTTTTCTTTCTACTGTTTTCTTTCTAGAAGTGGGATTCAGGGAGACACCTTAGATTAATTAAATGTTTGAGCTGCTCAAAGTACTGGTCCAGTTGTGAAGACTGGAACGGAGGCAATAGGAACAGGGAGAAAAATGCTGCTGACATGTTAGCTGTAGCACAATTCAAGTTTATTCCATTTGTTCTTGCAACACAAAACTTAAACACAGTATTATTAGCATTCTGATGTACATGAACTAGGATAATATGCGAAACCCAACTGTGTCAAAAGTATTACATCATGGAAAAAATGAACTCAATTATATCAAAATGCACAAAGCACTAGTCTTCCTCCATTACTGCTTAGAAAGATATGATTGTTTCTCCATTTACAAAATAGAATCAGGACAATTTAAAGTTTTAAAACTCTGCATGCAAAACACTGCAATTGCTTATGTAGGAGGGCACTCTCACCAGCTTCTATACACAACCAAGTATACAATATTGCGTGGAAGAAAACAGCAGCTTAACTGAAGTTTAGGGAAAAAAATCCAATGGGTGCGGACAGATTTGAACCCATTTGGGAGAAAGAATCAATGAATAAAGGGGCTACCTGCTTGCAGCTTCCACACACGGACTCGCCCACCTCTCCATGCGCCCTGGGTTTAGAAGGTGAGCTATGCACAGAACTATTCGGGTCCACTCAGGTGCTGGATTTGAACTGTTTCCAGATACCAGTCTGAAGCTGCAAGGGGGAACTGGTTAGTATACTAACAGTAAACACTTGGGTGTTTTACACACCTGTTCTTAATTGTTATAGTGCATACGAAATGACTGACTTCATACAAAACTACAGAACATGCAAGGTTTCTGCTGAGATGTTAAATATTACTTCAGTGGAGAAAAAAAAAACCCCACCTTTTCCCTAATGCTTGTAGTACCAAAAAGCAGATATGGTTTTAACTTTCTGTACTCAAAATATGAACATTAAGTGTTGTGAATTTTTCTGCCAAGTGGTTCAGAAATATAGTATAAATAACCTAGTTTAAAAAAAAAGAAATTGTAAACCATCTTGGTCAGTCTATTCTATGTTTATATGTTATTTTCTCAGGCAACCGCTTCATAATTATGGGGTTTACAAAATGGCTGGGAAAGAGGAAGGCGAAGCAGCCTCTACTGCATCACAGGGAACATCAGGGTAAACTGTACAGAAGTCACGTGGCTTCTACACCAGGTGACTGGAAAGCAGACCAGGTTCAGGAATGATAGGACAGTGCACTCTCTGCAACAGCCAGCTGGAACAGCACACTGAGGCTGTAAAGGGAAGAACTGTGGAGGGCAGAATCCAAGCCTTTTGATCACATTATGCCAAGAGGTGAAAACAAAGATATCCCAACACCTTGTTGACAGTTCAAGACTGATCGAGTGCCCTCCCTCTTCAATGAGGATAGCTCATAGCCAGCTTTCAGTTCAGTGGTGGGATAAAGTACTGATGACTGACTTTCAGTCCAACTCGAATAGGCTGCATTAAGGCAGCAGAATTGGCCAAAGGTATCAAAGTATTTAAACTATTTTGTGAATGTTTTCTTGGATGCAGAAAAATTACAGGGTTTAGGCTAGCTGTAAGTGAAAAAAGCCACAGGATTAAAAAAAGTGTTCATGGGGAAAAGTACACATGTGTACACACACACACACACACACACACACAACCAACCAACCAACCAACCAACCAATCAGCAATTCATCATTAAGGTTTGTTATTAGCCAGGCTGACAGTTCTTGACTGTTTAACTCTGCTGTTGAATGCTACGTTGCCTTAAGAAAAAAAAATCCTAATTCTTTATTATCCACAATCTGAATACAAGCCCCTAACCCACCCTCCCCCCTTTTTAAAAATTTGAGGTACATTCAGTTATTGCATGATGTGGTTAAGGAAAAATCCTAATATTTTAGTAAGCTTAGATGAGTTGGCAGGTCAAAGGAATCTTAGTATTTTAAATGCAAAATAGCAAAATTTAAGTATGTGTTTTAATTAGTAGTACTGCTCATGAAATAAACATTTGAAAATGTGTAAGTATTTTCTGCACGTCATAAGAACCATTTTAGGGCACATATTTAAGGACACAGAATACATTTTGAAGGTTTCGCACTTTATGTGATGCATGATTTAAAAAAGGGAAAAAATACTATGCAGCTGGGCTGGTGCATGTGCATTCAGCAGAAGTTTATCAACAGCTCAGGGAAACCTGGTAACAAGCGTATTTTTGGAGAGATTTGTCCAAATAGTAAATCTCACCCCAGTGATAGCTTTGGTGCAGTAAGTAATCAGCATCCAAGACAGGTCAGAGACATGCCAACAGTGTGCCCTGTTCTCCACATAACCAAGGCCGATTCGTTTAAACAGCAAATGAAGAAACCCACAGGTACGAAGACAATTGCTCTCTCTATGACACTAACAGGCTTATGGCTATGATTCTAGTTTTACATCCCCCTTTGCTACCAGCAGGAGTTTAAAAGTGTTTCAATGTTACATAAATGTGTGAATCTAGAGGAGAAAAAATTATGCACACTGGAATGGTTTCTCCTATAGACTTCCAAAATTTAAGATTTTATAAATAAAACTAGTCAGTTTTACCTAAAGACACATGAAATCAGTGTGAAAGGGGAGAGGAAATCCAAAGTTCAGTCACCTAGCAATTTAGGAGTGTGCCCCTCCTCACCGTAACTAGGCTTTCATGTAAAGCTGAAAGTCACCGAGGGAAGATTTGGTCACCAACCACAGGCAGCGCTCTCTACACCAGGAGATTCCCCAGAGTGCACCTTAAGGCAGAAGGCTAATTGCTTATCTCAGCACCCTAAGTTTACATCACAGCAGCCACTACTGCTCGCAGTTAGGGCTACCAAACATGTAGAGTTGGCCTTTGTATAATCAGACCCTCGACACAATCTAATTAATGAATTAGCTAGGGAGCTGAGACAGTCAAATGTTATGTTTTCTTTTTGTTCTGGCTCTCCCTTGGGTAGAAGCTGTGTATTTTTTGGAAATGGAAAAGAGGCCGACTTGATCAGGAGGCCTAATAAAAGCCTGACCGTGGTTTTTGCCTCTCCTCCAAAACATGGTTTTTTCTGGTAGTCTGATTGGTTGTGAATTTCTCTCCCCCCTCACCCCTCTTAAAGTATTTAGCTGAAGAAGCTGGCAGATAGAGAGTGACAGACAGACAGGCAGCAGTGTGAGGCCACAGGAGAGTCATTCTTCCAGAGCTGTCAGCCCCTCCATCCATCACTGAAGTAGGGCTTTGATTGCCTGGTTGTCAGTGGCTTCAAAGGCAGTTAGTCCATCTGGACCTTTCACAGTCTTATCAGCACCCTGGAAAAGAGCGGGAAGAGCCTTGGTCATTAAATGAGCCACAACTGGGAGAAGAGAGTGAAAGATGAGATTACTTGGCATACGCTCGTATTTACACCTAGAATTAAAAACTTTTACTTAAATGGAAACCATCCTATCGAAGAAAACAACTCTAACACTTGGCAAGGTTATGGATTAAGTTATAAAAATGTCAGATTATTTTTCAGGCCCTATAAATTGTACACTACACACACAGCTTGCCAATAACATTGACAGCGGCTGGCTTTTATTCATACTAGCATATATTTACCCAATTAATTAAGCTTTAAAAATGAATGTTCCTAGGTGTAGTATAAAATGGGAAAATCACTTTTGCTAATGAAAGTATCATGGTAATATTTTTTCCCTCTTTGCAAAATTGTTTGGAGAGTGCCTAAGTGTGACATTATTTCTAAAATCTGGGGCTTATAGAACTTTTGCTTTAGACAAATTCCTACAGAACACGTGTAATACTGATCATTATACTTAGACACTTAGCGGTGAGAGGCTGGGACGTGGCCGGGGAAGGAGGCTCTGCGCTGTACTCTGGGGATGAAACCCTCCCCCGCCGGTCTCAACGCTTCTCCTGGAGGCTGCTGCTCTGGAACATTTACTTGCGACATTGTTTTGGGTTTGAGAATGTGACGTACTCCTCTGTGTCCACACTGTTTCAATGTCTTCCTTTACCAGAAGTCCCATGGCAGTAGGAGCCCTGTCTGTATTCTCACCATGGCTCGGGGACCTGGGAAAGTGCCCAGTGTGTGGGTAGTGCATTTGCTCCCCGGCCCTCTCTTTGCTGGCTCTGCCCAGCCGGGGTTCGGTCACCAAACAGTCTCTAGCGTCCTATCCTCCTGCCCTTGCCAAAATCTCATTTGCTCCTGAGGCCTACAGAGCCATCAAAACTTGGCACAGGAGGTCCTTCAAAGACCAACTCCAGTCAAACTCACCAGTCTCTTCTCGAATTAATCTTTCTAGCTCTAATCCTATGGAAGTTTTCACCGTTCCTGACCACACCATGTGCTGTGCCTTTACAAAGGCTCGTTCCAAATGGAATGCCTTACCCCCCTTCTCTGGCAAATCCACGCAGTCACTGGAAAAACATTTACTGAGTGTGTGATGTGCATACACTAAGGGCCTGGAGAATCAAAAAAACCCAAGAGTCTGCCAGCCTGGCTGGCGTGGGAGACAGACCAACCAGTGCGAGCCAGTGAGTTGAGAACCATAATGGCGCAGAATGGGACGTGACGCGATGTCATGTGAGAAAGAAAGTCTTTCTAGATGAGGTAATGCCGGAGCCGAGTCTTGGTGATGAGGTAAACCAGGAAGGAGATGAGAGATTCTAGGAAGTGTGAAAGTATCACAAAGTCCTCTTCAAGGTGACTATAAAAGTCTCTACTTCTTCATTTTCTAATTTAATTTAACTGCTTTATGGAACACATGGAACTCACAGTGGGAGAGAAATCTGTGAGGATCTCAATGTGGTAAACCCTACAACATAGGTTAAGTGACAATAATTGGGATCCCTGTATTCAAAACAAATTATTCACTTTGATAGGTTTTATGACTAGCACTGTAAACTATAATTCTGCATTAACAACCTTAAATATTATAGTGAACATCTGTTGCTTTTTTAGCTTCCAGAGTTCATTTCCCTTCTTTTGATAACTTCATCCTAATTTCATTTTGGGGAATCATTTGTCCCCATGGTGTGGAGCCCTGGGACTATAACTCAAGGTGCTATGTGCTTTCCTTGCCAAGTTTCAAAGACTAGTTTGACTCAAGCAGGATGCTCACTTCTGGATTCTGAATACTGATTGGAGAGATCAAAGAGAATAAGGAGTTGGGGCTCATTTAGTTACTTCTGGGGCATCACCTAGGAGACAGCCGAGAGGTTTCTGCTCTCTCGAGTCCTACAGCTGCCATGCTTCTGGCCTCTTCTGAGCTTGGTCCTCCAGCGTTCCTGCTGGTTCTATGACTGGTCCAATATCTTCGAAATTCTTTCTACTTGTTAGTCAAATTCTGCTATCTGTAACCCAAAATCTGGCTTACAAAGTATTTTTAAAATTTGTATAAATCATTTTTTCCTAATTACAATACAAACTCATCACAGAACTCAGAATACACAGAAAAACATGAAACTCATAATTCAATACATTGGAAACAACTGTGATTAATTTCTTTAGCTTTTTGTCTGGGAAACTCTTTTTAACTGTTGATTCTACATGACAGATAGCCTTGCTGGGTAATCTTGGTTGTAGGTCTTTGCTTTTCATTACTTTGAGTATTTCATGCCAATCTCTCCTGGCTTAAAATGTTTTTCTAGAGAAATAAGCTGACAGTCTTACGTTGTATATAACTAAATGCATTTCTTTTGCTCTAAACTTTTAGTCATTTCTTCACTTAAGTTTTTAATTCCCTGCTCTCTCTCCTCTTCCTCGTACCACTATGATGTGAATGTTGGAATGCTTGCTGTTACCCTAGAGGTCCCTTAAACTATCCTCATTTTTAACCCCTCCCATCCCCCGTTCCAACTGGGTGTTTTCTGCTATCTTGTCTTCCAGAACACTAATTGAATTCTCTGCTTCATCTAATCTGCTGCTGATTCACTCTAATGTAGTCTTGATTTCAGTTCTTGTATTCTTCATTTCTGACTGGTTATTTCTTATCAGTTTTAGCTCTCTGTTGAAGTTCTCACTGAGTTCATGTATTCTTCCCCTAAGTTCACTGAGCATCCTTATAATCAGTGTTTGGAACTCTGTATCTGGTAGGTTGCTTGTCTCCGTAAGTTTTGTTCTGCACTTTCGTTTGGAACATGTTTGTCTCATCTTGCCTGACTTCCTGTGCTTGTTTCTATGTATTAGGTAGATCAGCTTTTTCTGCCAGTCTTGGCAGAGTGGCTTTATGTAGGTGTCCTCTGAGGCCCAGTGGTACAGTCTCCCTGTCCACCTGAGGTGGGTGCTCCAGGGCAACCCTTGTGTGGGTGTGTGCCCTTCTGTTGTAGTTGAGCCTTGATTTCTGTTGGCATGTTAAGGGAGGGATTGACCTCAGGCTGACTGGCTGTGAGGGCTGGCCATGACTACATTGGACAAGATGTTGTCTGGGGGATGATCACATGGAGCGAGGGTCTGTTTAGTGAGGCTCTGGTGCCAGCCGAATCTGCACTTCATCTGTGTTGATGTGGAGGTGGTTGGGTGGTGTGGTCTGAAGCCACACACTGGGTGTGTTATTTCTAGAGTCTTTAGGAAGGGCTTTGGTGTAGGCCAAGATCAGCTGCTGTTTGTGCTAAGCTTAGGGCCACTGGTGGGAGCTACAAAATAATCTACAGATGGTTGCTGTTTGTGCTGGGCTTGGAGTTCCTTGGGAGGGGCTATGCTGTCTACCAAGGCTGGCTGCCACTTCTGCCAGGCTTGAGACCCTTTGGTGGGCATGATGATGTGAGCTGAGGCTAGCCACCATTTGTACTGGCTTGGGGCCACCTGATGGGAGGTACACATTGAAAGTTGAGACCTGTTGCCACTTGTGCCAGACCTGGGGCTGCTTAGCAAGCAGCCGATGGTAGCTGCTGTTTTCTTGGGATTTGTGGATCTTGGAGATTTTAGGAAAATCCAGTGTGAGCCGCAGCAAGCTGTATGTGTGCAAAAGCCACTGGAAATGACTTGGGGGCAGGATCTCAGGGAATCACCAGGACAGAGCAAATGGTGTTAGCTATGATAATGGAGAGCTCAGATTTGACAACTGCCCGCAATTCCATCCCTGGAGAGAGATACCTTGCTCCTCTAGCCCTTACCCCAAAGCGAGTCAATTCAGTTTTTCTCATAAGTTTCTGGTGCTTTTCAAACTGCTACCCTGCAAGCTTAGGGTGAGTTAAGTTTGTGAGCCACCAAGTCCATGCATGGGCCCCTCAAAAGGAACACACAACTGGGACTCTGGCAGCTCTCTATCTCACTCTGATATGCAAACCCTGCTGGTCTTCACACCAAGATGTCCTGGGGCTCCTCTTCCTGGCACTGGTGCCAGGCTGGGATCCTGGCTCCTCAGCAGGGGATCACTGCAGCCCAGATACCTCTCTCAATTCTTAATCCCCACACCAAGGATGTGTCTATTCTGTTTCCACCTCTCCTACCAGTCTCGACATGGCTTCTTCTTAATTATACGGCTTCTGTTCAGCTAGTCTTCAGATGGTTCTCAATGATGGTTCTATAATTTAGCTTTAATTTTGATGTAATCATGGGAGAAGGCGAGCACAGTGTTTACCTACTCTGCCATCTTGACTGGAACAGTATTACATTTGATTCTCAACTCAAACAACAAAATATACACCATAGCCACTTTGAGGATTTGATAATATTGGTATTTGAGAGGAGTATTCATGTTTCATCATTAAATGGTTGCTTGACTTTTTAAAAAAAATGTAGCACAGGTAATATATTTCATAAAACATGAACATTTTCTACATTTTCTCAGAAGACTAATTTTTAGTATGTTTTTTCCCTATAGCAATTGTATATATGATATTAAACATTCTGAAAGGCACTGAGTAAACCTTTGTTCTGTATTTCACTCATTTATCCCCAAACCAGGAGCAGTTAACTTAGAGTGGTCTGAAACAGTTAGGAATCAAAAAATTAGTGTTGCTCAATAATCATTGATCATATATGTATTTTTTGTTTTAAGGTTACAGTAGAATTCCTAGGAAGGTAAATTCTTTGACATAGTGTGAAACAGGAAAGAATGGAAAACAAAAAATCAAAGTTTCTCTGGGACTTTTCCTCTCAAATATAACAAATGATAGTTTATAATAATTTAAATATGCTGTCATTTTAATTTTTTTAAATTTAAGAGTAAAAAATGATAATGTTTTAAAACTTTAAATTTTCAGTTCATGAGATTTTGATTCTCTCATTCTGGGGTACAACTTTTTCTACTTAAAAGAATTCTTGTTCTTATATAGAAAGTTGAGAGGCCTTTTTAAATAGCAGTAT